CTCACTAAATATTGTTCATATATTATGAGTGCTCTCTGAATTTTGAGCAAGTTTTATTTATTTCTACACTTTCCTCTTGCTTGATAATCATTTTTTCATGTATTCACATGCGCTAATTTTAGTATTATTGACCATTTGTCTTTGTCGACTTTGGGCTCAAACAATTTGGCTCTATTATCGATCGTCTTTAGGTTTATTGTCTCAATCCTTAGAGCTTTATTGTTTTATAAATTATAAAACAGTTTATCACGGAATAGATGCTGACATTAATGAATTTTATTCTTTCGCTTTGATCTTTTTAAATGGTTTATAATGGTCTTCCCCTCGTTAGGACAGGAAACCTCTTATTGCTGTTCACTCTAGACCTTTGTTTCCTTTATGAAGCATTCAAATGTACAGTCTTTATAATCAACTCAATAAACATTTTTTCACCAATTATTTTAATTTACGCGTATGCTACTTTCTTAATGCTTGTTAGGTCTTATGGATTTTTAAGGTCTATTTGTGGAATATCTTGGTACATTCGTTTAAAGCCGATTATCTTGATCGCCTTTCATCTGAAAAATACTTCGTCTCAACTATAACAATAGAGCCCTTAGTCTCCTATGCTCATGTTTTTGCTATTTCGTTATTTGAATTTGTAAAATGTCCCTTTATTTTAAACCAATTGCGTCTCCTTACAAACTGGTTATTTTTCTATAGTATTTCGGAACCTGGCCGAAATGTTTGGTTGGTATGGCGAAATTTACTCGAGGAATCTAATGCGCTGGCACTTTCGCGTCTTAGGGCATCGGATGCACAGATTCGTCTTTCTAATGATCTGAAGCCTCTCAAAGCAATTAGGACTTCTGTTAATAAGAGAACATTTGAGCAACTAAAATCATTACAGGTATTTATTTTGTGCTGTCTAAATTGTATCGCTTTTAAGCCATTTCCATCAATTTAAATACTTTATTTTATTTTATTTTACATATCGTTATAGTGATACCAAGCTCGATTATATTTATGTTGCTCTTATCTTGGAAAGAGTAATAATTTCCTAATTACTGGTTTGCTACATTAACATCACGAAATATCAACTGAATCTCCTGAAGAACTATCTTTTGATATTTATTCTTTGAAGACCAAATATTTTTTCTACTGCATAAATGAATGACTATTTGGCTTCGGAAAATCCACTAATAAATTCCTGCCATTGGACTTTTCGTTTCGCTTTAAAAGTTGGATGGAAGGGCGTTGTAAACCAACAAACCAATAACGGAGCCGACCACTATTCTCGGCTTAATGATTTGGTGAATTTTCGTTACACAGTGGTTTTATGCCTTGAGGATGTCTGTCACCTGACAGATATAAATTCATCTGGGACGACGTGCCAAGTACTCACTACAATTCAACAGTCACAAATCTATTGCAATCTTACTTCGGTTTACGATGCGCCAAATGACAAATCCCTTCTGCCCAGCTTTTCGAACAAGATGAAAGGTCCAATGAAATTTTTTATAATATGAAATATGGAAAATCCTGTTTAAATTGTCTCACACTATGGCTTATTTATGCATTTCGCATTCTTTATCCTGCTTTAGGGTGACCTTGCTGCGTGTCTTCAGGAAATGATTAAGGCGCAAAAGGTTTACAGTGAAGAGGAAAAACAGGCTCGTGATTTGAGAGAAAAGGCCCTCATTGCAGAAGAAAAAATTAGGCACAGATCCACAAATATTTTTAATTCAATGGCTCATCTTCATAAGACCTACGCGAAGGCAAGTCGTGTTCCTCATCATTCAGATGGATAGCCCAAGCCTTCACGGATTATCGTTTTTTTACCACTACCACGTTAATATTTGTTCCGATTTCCTAATCTGTATCATTCGTTTTTTAATGCGCCCTTTTATAACATAAGTGTTTCAAGCTGACCTCAAATCTTGCCTCATACTTGCCTGTTTTTTTCACCTGCATTATTCTTAGCAGGAACTGTGAGTATTACTAGGAAGACCTAGAAAAAGCACCTAGTCCGGAGTCCATAGTGTGCATGATAATTTCCACACTCGGAGGCGGGACATGGTACATTCCAAGACTTTTCGCCTACATCGTAGTCAGCATTGTCATTGAGCTTTGCCATTCGTAGCACCACACTACAACTCGTCAAAGAGATAAGT